GTGTCACCTCGTGAGATAGCAAGGACATTATCGTAAAGCTCGTAAGCAGCTCTCGCCCGCGTTTCTTCATTCTTAGACTTCAACTCAACGAAGAGTCGTTGAGTGACGTCCGTAATAGGACCTGCTTGCGCCATATTTGCGTAGCACACCCCAGGGTGGACATTTGAAGTCAACCTCTAGGGCATGTACGATGACACGAGTTGAGCATAAGATATAGAGCAGTTGATGGGCGGCGTGAATGATGTGGGAGGTGCGGTTTGAGGGCCTCCCGGATGATGCACGGGCCAAGCCTGTTCTGGCCTGGGGCATCCTCTTGGCTTGCGTGCCGGTGCGCCTTATTAATGCAGTAGTAGTTCGGATATTGGTTGCGACTGTATACCGTCAAATATCTCCATTCTTTAATATCAGATATACTATCGGGTATACCCAGGTCTACATATACCTATTGCATCCATCTGTATATACCGCATTGCCTCCACCGGAGTTTTCTTCTGTGCTAGTTGTTCTCTCATGATAAGTACGGAGCCAACACCGATTGTGCTCGTTTCCCTTCGTCCACGCCTTTTGCCAGCCTTGCATTTCATTAAGGATGCTTACAGACACGCAGTTGCGGGGATTTTGGTGCCCGACATTCCTAAAGATCACATGTCAAGGTATCATGAGACGTCGTCTTAGTTTATGATGCACAAAGCCCTTACATGATGACCAGCCCGTGCATTGGTGGATGACTAAATAGTAAAACAATGGCAACCTGTGGAGCATAGATCGTTGTGCTACAATTCAAGGATGTAAGAATTGATTTGAGAATTTATTGAGAATTTATATTTTCACAAAAAGAATATAATACTAATAACATGCTTTATAACACAAACCAAAGAGGCACAGAAATAGTTTTACATTTATCGTCCAATGGTCTAATCGTACAACCAACTGTTCTCTCTGCCCGAAACCATGCAAAAAAAAAAAAAAAAAAGAAAGAAAGAAAGAAAAAAGGAAATAGTTGGGTACTCTCTCATGAGGAGCTAAGAGTCTTCATCAGGTTTTTGGCGATGTCCTCGGTGGTGTTCTGTGGTTCACCCGAAGGCCTAAATCGTGGCTTGTGCCTGTCCAGTCTCGGGACGACACGCTGATCACCACGAGCCACATCGGAAATGGTTGTCAGAGAGGGTTTCTTGTAATCCTCGATGTTGTAGGGAGCTTTAGCAGTGGCACTTGCTCTATAAGAGGCCAAGCCAATTCTACCCTCCGAATCAACCGAAGCCCGAATGGGAGTGACCCAGTACTTGGCACCACCAGGAATAGATACATCAAAGTAGGCCAGGCCTGGAGGAGAGCCCTGTTCCACGAAAGTCATGGCATTTAAGTCCTCCACAGCAATACCGCCAACACCCGCAATGGCCTTGGAGGTCCTGCCCTTGAACCTGCCCTTTGGTCGCAAGATACGGGCCTCCACTGGACGCTGATATGCCTGAGGACCAAACTTGGGGTGATTGTAGATCAAAGCATGCGACCGTGTGTATGACAGTCCGGCAGAAGGGTGTGTCTTCGGAGGACCGGATACAGCGTATTCTGCCGAAGACAGCTTAGTTCCGGGTGATTGGTAGTATTTGTGGCCAATTCGGTCGCTCGGTACGGCTGGAGGAGAGGGCAGGTCCAATAGCTCAAAGACCACGGGGCCAAGGGAGAAAGGATCTGTACGTAATGACTTGAGGTAGGTCTGGAACTCCTCTTCCGTAACCTTTACAGGCTCAAGCGCCTCCAAATCCTCTCCGTTATCTTGAGCTTGCTTTCTCCGCTCAGCAGTTCGCTTTTCGGAGAAGAGTTGGCGAAGTTTTTGCAAAAGCTCTGGCTTATTGCTCCGCACTTTCTTCAGGTAGGCACTGAATTCGGCTTCCGTCTGTCCAGCCAGCCAAGGCCCGGAGTGCCTAAATTGTTTGGCGCCGGTCTCTTCGAGGCCTTTGCTAGTGTCTGTGTTGTCCACATACGACTCGAAGGGACTCTGATGCCTAGGAACAATACTAGTCGCATAATTGACCTTCGAAGGTAAAGAGAGAGGCATATGGAGTTCCTGGAATTTCTCGAGGGTCACCGTGTGGTCGGCCGCAGACTCGAAGTCGGTTACATGTTCGAATGTGTCGAGAGCGTTCACCCTCACAACAGGCCTGGATGATTTAGCAGAGGTAGATTTCGCAGGCAACGATCTCTTGAGGCCCCAATCTCCTCTTGCTAGCGATGATGCTGGGGTAACAATGGACGCTCGGGTAGGATGAGGAAGGGTTGCGGTGTCGGACTCGAAGACGACCTTTGAGGTTGGCGGATCCTGAGGTGGCTTCAATGCTTGTGGAAGCGCGAACAGACGAGACTTCCGCAGCAAATTTGCTGTGGGAGATAGCCTGGCTGTTGCCATGGCGTTCAATGGGCAATTGCGACGTCTTGGTGGTCTTCCTCCGGAGCATGCTGGAGAAGAAAAGTTGGTCGCGTTGACTAGCCGCGTGCCAAGCCTATAAGGTCCGGTCAACCGCAGCAGCACCAAGTGCAATTCTATATCCTCCTTTGCCGAACAGATTGTTCCTTGTTCCTACTCTACGCTGCCCTTATTAGAAGGCAGTTCTGACGTATACTTCATGTACCTTGTTTATAGAAACCAAAGTTTGATGCTTATGATTAAAGAGAACTAGAACTATGGTAGCTACCTATAAAAGGAGGAAAAGAGATCAAAACACGTGACAGCCTTGCCCCCGTTTAAGCCTTTTCTTTATTCCTTCAATCCACTCATGTATCGACGCATTGTGTTAGAAGCGGCGGGGCTGGCCTACTCAATCTATAATCCTAAGTAAGATTCTGCCTAGGAAGAGTGTGATCTATTTGCATCCACTATAAGGGATGAGCTGGCCTTCTCCCTGGGCGGCTGCTCCAACATAATGCTACTTTTTTATAGAGTTTATTAGGGCATCTAGTAGGCTGCCCGGGCCTTGCATAGAATCAGGTCATATCACTGTATTTCAAACATTCCGACAAGCTCTATAGTCTGTAGGGATTATGCGCCAACTTCCAACAATGATTTGACTGTATCGGTAACCGAATCCTTCAATGAACGGTACTGGATGCCTAGTACCTCAATAGACTTCTTGTTGTTATAGCCATAAACGTTGGCTGGCATATCACTTGTAGAATCCTTAGGAGGAAGTTTTTCCTCGAGTTGAGGATATGTTTCGCGGATAATATCTGCAAGATCTTTGTTCGCATAAAAGCCAGAGACAAGGAAAAATCTTTGTCCACCTGCTTCTGAAACCTCAATTGCTCTCACGTGGGCCAATGCAACGTCGTGAACATCTACCCAAAGGAACGTTCCAGTTGGAAGAAGCCCGTCCTTGTTGTTACCCCGGACCAAGTTGCTAATACGGCTGTTCGAAGTATTGACGGCATCTAGGGAGTTCAGATAAGGCACAACAGGCCCCAAAACAAGAGGGGGATTTATCGTCGCAATGTCAAAGTTTGGCTTCTCCTTCTCAACGAAATCCCAGGCGGCCTTCTCAGCAAATGTCTTCACGTATCCCTATCAGTATATGTAGTTTTAATAACTATACAGCAGTGTTGTCTTACCTTGCTCGCTCTGTAGGTTTGGGAAGGCTCCATTGCTTCCTCCCAAGTCACAGGATTCCAGTTCTCCTCACTGTAGACCTTCGGGTGGTTCTTGACATTGACAATTGCAGCAAAAGAGGACGTGACCACGACACGTTTCACTGTCGGGGCGTAGGCTTTGATTGCCTTCAAGATACCTGTTGTTCCTTTGATTGCCGGGTCCAGGAAGTCCTTCACTGGGTCTGAAACATTATAATGGAAGGGAGAAGCAGTATGGAGGACATAGTCGAAGGGTGGGTTTGATTTGACGGCCTGAACGGTAGGTTGGTTTAGTACTACTATTACCGGGAGGTGCGAAAGGATGAGTTATTAGAACTCACTTCGTCGAATGCGCCTTCTTCTGCGACATCTTTGACAATAACGTATGAAAGTTTCTCCTTCGGGGTATTGGGGTGAGCATTGAGGATTTTTTGTCCCTTTTCTTCAGATCTAACAGTAACTACTGTCTCATATCTAACCAGGGGCAGTCAGAATCAGTGCGATTCACCCCAGGCAATTACAGTCGAATTTATAACACTCACCCGCGCTGCAGCAAGATATCAATAATATGAGCTGCGATGAATCCGCTGCCGCCTAGAGATGTACGTCAGAATTGGGCCCCCGATAGGGTTGGATGGCATACCAGTCAAGAGCACTTTCACCATGGTTGCAGTTGCCGGTGGTATTATTGAAGTTACTTGGTTTGGTTTATTATCTCAAATTTAGGTTTACCATAGCAACAGATGCTGAGCGAGGAACGTCTGTCTTTATATAGTATTGAGTAGAACGGGATGTACCCCTCAACCCCATTATCTGTCCCCCACTCTGGTCCACCAGCGCAGTTATCGTCTGAATATGATAGGGCATAGGTGATGACAAATGTAGGCTATGGTTTGCGTCAACTTATAGCGGGATTATCTGGACTTAGCGGAGTCAGCATTAAGTCCGGTTGTTTACGCCCGGCAGTCTACTAACAAGTTCCACGACGGCTTTATTTGTACATATATGAGTCAAAGCTACGACCCCGGGCTTGGTGGAGATTAGCAGTTCCTTGATACATTACCCCCGATATTAATGAATGGCGTCGCGACTCGTGACTAAATCGGAGTTCGGCGTTCTAAGTTTACAGAATATTAATCTTAATTCAACCGCTTACTTTTTCGACTTTAAAAGTAGGAAGTAATTGAGTCTACCACAGTAGAGTCATTGGTGTAGGACGGAGTAGGTTCCGCATTTATTTAACTCTGTTAATAGTTCGCAGTATTAGTAATACTAGTATTTCTAGACACGGCATATAGATACACGGAACGTCAATGCAGGAACCAGTACAGTTAGGGCATATCCTTATGCCTGTGTTTAACTAGGTAGGAGCCTTCTGAGTCTATGAAGCTCGTCCGTTGCTTTGACAATGTCTGGCACTTACTTGAGCTTATGAAAGTAGCGAGAATCATGCTCAGAGAAGCTGGCGTCTTCACTAAAACAGTGGACTTCATTTGCCTAGTATATCTACTTGCCAGCCTGGGTATCATCAAATGTGAACGCTCCATCTGTATAAGTCAGAATTATGATGGTATATGCTGGAGAATACTCCAATTCCTTTCTTAAAATTCTTGAGGCACGTAACCTTCAATAGAGCCTCCTTTGTCGTCCCCTGGGCGCATCTCCGGTGCTGTGACGTGCTTATACGCTAGGTTATCCTTCTCCTGGATCTGAACATCTACTCGCCCGGCCCGTAACGCCGGGTTTGCATCTCCGCGTTCCAAGGCGAGTTCATGGGAGTGAGCACTGTCATGAACCGAGAGTTTGGACATGTCACCTGCTAGGTTGCTCGAACCTGGCGTTTTGCTCATGTGCAGATTGTCCAATTGACCAGTAACCTCCCTTACCGTGGCAGAGCTACTCGCCTTGCCTTTCCCTCCCCGTGTCGTTGCCCTTCCTTCCTCAAGCAAGAGGAGATTCTTGCCCCGGGCGTCATCGGCACGCCTTTCCCATACTGGCTCCTCGGCTAACTGTACCCGAATGTACAAGGCTCTTTCAGCGCACTCATCCGAACACCACATCTCAAGCTTCTCGCGAGGAACTATGTTCATATCCCGTCCCCGGCCACCAGGGCCACTCCCTTTAGCACCCCACGTTATGCGATAAGACCCACGAGAGTCGTCCTTGCGGTGCTCGCGAGGACATAGACCGTATCCGCAGAGACCCTCAATATTCCGCTCCTGGATCAAATTATCGTAGTCCGCTGGCTGGAAGGGTATCAAAGCTGATTTGAAAGCCTGGGCATCCTCGGGTGACGGGGAAGCAGGATCTGCTGAAGGCGAAGACGGAAACGTGACGAGCTCAAGAATGCGATCCAAGATAAGAGATTCCGTATCCTTTTGAGCCTGAATACGGTGCGCATGATGTAAAGCTATGGCGAGATGACGTGGATCTGCGTTTGGCATGTTCGCGGGCGGTCCTTTTTGCTGGCGCGACGTATTGGACTTTGGTGGCGCACGGCGCATGCTGGACGGAGCCTGTGTGGAAGCAGCATGAGCCGAAGGAAGGGAAGTCTTCAAATGGGACCGACTGGCGGACATTTTGTAAGCTAATTGTGTCAGTGGTGTGGAGGCAAAGAAATATGGTTGGACATGAAGACGGTTGTGAAAGTGAGGTGGTGCTTCCGGGTCGGGAGGCAAACCCCAGATTCAAATCAAGCCCATGACGACGGATGCCACTGCCTAGGATGAATTAACCCCCCTTAAAGGAAAGGCGATCGTTTTGAATGGTAAATTGATACAAAAAAAACTAGTGCCAGATGAGGCATAATCTGACCGCCACGTTAGCGACCATAAGGATTCTTTACCCCTCCACACACCTAATCTCCAAAATCATTGACACTTGGGCAGTTAGTGAGTCGTGGTGTGGCAGGTCTTTGAATATTATTAGCCGCTGATCGCCCCGTGGTGGAGCAACTTGTCCCGCCAAAAGGTGACGACGGTTGTCTGTGTTCCTTACACCTCCGTGTCTCCTCGTTCCCTTTCACTTCCCTCTCGCATGTCCCATCCCTTTGTTTCTTCCCCTCCTTGGCATTTGTCTTGAAGTTATATCCCGCAGGAATTGATATCTCTAACTTCAGTAAGTGATATCTATTGAACCGTGACCTTTGGGAGGGCATTGCCAGCCCCAGGTTATGCTGTGACGTACGTCAACCAGGCTGACATATTTTGGTTAGTACTAGTTTCCTTTAATCTCCTATTCCCCGTGAAGCACCTCTACATATGCCCCTTTGCATGAAGGTTGCATAAGTCGGTGCTTCACTAAACACAAATATCCAGTGTTGGTGTGATTAATGCCCATCTGTCGAACACTTAGTATTTGCATATTGTCCCACATCTCCGCAATAGGGCCCCGGCTTGCCAAATGTCCAGCCCACCATTTACGGTCAAAGCGGTCTTCGAGTATTCGTCGAGCCATGAGGATGACCTAACCTTTTCAATCGGCCAAATTATCACCGTCACTGCGGAGGAAGATGCAGAGTGGTACTATGGCGAATACACAAACGAGTCGGGTAGCAAGGTAGAAGGCATCTTCCCAAAGAATTTTGTGGAAAAGTATGAACCCCCCGCTCCTCCACGACCGACGCGCCCAAGTAGGCCAAAGAAGGATGCCGATGTTGCCCCTCCACCTGCACCTGCGCCTGCTGCAGTCGAGACTCCGGCTGAGAGTCATCCCCCGCCCGAGCCGGAAGTAGAGGAGGTCCCTGCCGATGAGCCAAGGAGTATCCCCAACCCTCCTCAATTGCCTCCTCCTGCTTCAGAACCTTCGCGCAGTGAGGTTGTGTCCCCGCCTAAGCCGGTCCCTGCTCCAGCTTACCAACCGTCTTCACCCGAAGCGAAAGAGCCAGCTCCAAAAGCTTCGCCGAAGCCTCCGCCACCTGCAGTTGCTGAGAAACCTGCATCGTCCTCATTCAGAGATCGAATCGCAGCATTTAATAAACCAGCGGCGCCTCCAATTGCACCTTTCAAGCCGGGGGGTTGGAGCTCCGGGGGCTCTAATACGTTCATCAAGAAACCGTTTGTTGCCCCACCACCTAGCAAGAATGCCTATGTACCCCCACCAAGGGAGGCTCCTCCCAAGGTCTACAAGAGAGAAGAGGATCCAGACGTCCAGGATAGTGTTTCGCGTGAGCCGCCCGCTTCTGAAAGTCGACCTGCGCTGAGTGAAATCACCGAGAATAAGGAGGAAGACCAGCCTAAGCCGACATCTCTGAAGGAGCGGATAGCTCTTCTGCAGAAGCAACAAATGGAACAAGCTGCACGCCATGCTGAAGCTGCCCAGAAGAAAGAAAAGCCGAAGAAGCCCCCTCCGAAGAAGCGCGCAGAGTCGTATGAGGGAGCAGCCCCAGCAGAGGAGTCGAGTGCTGAGAGGCCAGACTCGATGGAATCTGCGCGGGATCCTAGTGTTGACACTGTTAAGCCCGATGCCATGTCTGTGCCACAACCACCCATGTCTCCACCACCTGCACGCGAGCCGGCGAGTGATGCCAACGACGCTGACGACTCCGCTGCCGCTGATATTGAAGATGCGGAGGAGACCTCTACAAGCAAAGAAGATTACGACGAGCGTGCCCGTGCTGAATCTCGGCATGTGGCTCAACCTCAGGAACAGAAGGGAGAAGAAAGTGAGAACAGGGGCGACGAAAACGAAGAAGAGGAGGAAGAGGAAGGAGAAGAAGAAGAGATCGACCCAGAGGTCAAGCGCAGAATGGAACTTCGTGAAAGGATGGCAAAGATGAGTGGTGGAATGGGCATGATGGGCTTCTTTGGCCCGCCTGGCGGTATGCCTCTTCCTGGTGCAGCCCCTCGTAAGCCAAAGGCGACTACGGAATCCGAGAGAAAGGATAGAGATGCGGAGCCGACTTCGCCAGCTGCTGCACCTCCGGTTCCTGTTATGGCTCTTCCGGGGATGAATGCTACCAAACCAGCAGCACCTCCAACTGTGGAAAAAGAGGAAGAGGTTCCGACTACTCCTTTAGCGGAACAGCATCCTGCAGAAGAACTTCCTGACGTCGAGGAGGTTGTTCCGGAAGCGCCTCCTCGTCCTGTTTCTTCAGACAGGACACCTGCACCTCAAGGTATGAAGACCGGTTTCCAATCCCATGATCTATGATTCCCAAAAACTCACGAAGTATGTTATGTAGGGCGTCCTGCGCCTCCTCTTCCGCCTTTGGACACCCGACCTGTTCCTCCTCCTATCCCCCAGGGTCAGCCCTTGTCCCCTCCACCGGTGCCTGAACGTAAGTTAAATTGTCTCATCCTATCATAGTCGTTTCGCCGATACTAACCTTCCTTGAATAGCCCGTCCAGTTCCTCCTCCCGCGAAGAATTCCACATCCGGCGATCCGGGCGAGGAGTCAGATGATGAGCTTTCCGTGCATGCTAAAAACTTGTCTCTGAATGCTGCGGCAACCGATAGGTCTGCCTCTCCTCCATCGGTGTCAGCGCCTCCAGTTCCTGATCATGTTGACTCGCGTCGTTTATCGACTTACGATATCACGTCCCCAAAATCACCAACTTTCTCTTCAGAAAAGAGACTCAGCCGCCAGCCCCCGCCCATCCCGGCAAATCCTCCCATCCCGTCGCAAACGCGGCCACCACCTCCACCTCCTCCAGCTGATCTCCGTCGCAGATCAACCGCTGATAGTCGTGTCAGCGCAACCTCGCAGCCTCGCCAAGCCGGAGAGGAAGTAGAAGGCGAAGTCACGGAGTATGACGGTGACTATGATACAGACATTGCGTCTGGGGCAAAGTTCAAAGATGCATTGAAAGCTCACGGACGTGATTCAAGCATTGACGAAGGCACCATAACCGATGATCATTCTCTCCAGTCACCACGAAGTCCCCATGAGAACCGTCTTCCGCCACCGCCTCCTCCGTCCGCACCCAGAGCAGTCCCGCCACCACCCCCTGTTCAGCCCCCTCGAAGCGCTGGAAGAGCTTCCATGGAGTCTCCCAGAGGACCGCCTCCACCTCCTCCCCCGCCCCACAGGGAGCTATCTTATGGTGATGATGATGAGTACGATCCTTACCGTTATACCGCTCACCAACATGGGTTGCCTTCCCCAAGAGCGCCACCTGTACCTGCCGAGCGACGATCGGTAGTGCCACCCGTCGCCCAGCCAGAAAATGTTGGAGATGATTCAGACGACTTTTATGAAGCATCCCCAGTACAATCACCACCTCTGCCTCCCGTTCCGACGTCGCCTGAAGGGCGTAGCTCAATGGCGCCTCCACCACCTCCCAGCATGCCTCCCCCTAGCGCTGCCCCTCAACCTCCGTCCACATCACGGAGCAATCGTGCATCCTTAGATGTTCCGAGAGGCACATCTAACCTGCGGAGGTCTATGGACATAAGCCGTCCCTCTGTCGATCAGGGCTACATTGCCATGGACATTGATTTGGCGGAACACACGCTATGGTGGGCGCAACCGAATAATCCTCCTCCTGCCTTCCAAAACAGGAAAGATGTTCTGTTCGAATTTGAAGATTCCGGCCCTGCAAATCGTAGCGGAAGTACCACGGTCACCAAAGAAGTCTATATCCTATTTATCGACTACTCTCAAACTATTATTACCGTGAACTTCGATGCCCGGAATCCCTCCGATGCGACTCTAGAACAACGCCATGAAGCTCCCCCTCTCCAACCTCGCCAGGACCAACTCGAAAACGCACATCTCCAAATCGGGACCCGCATCGCCACTGCTGTGAATGGCATCCAGAATACAACTGTTGCAGATGGCACTCCATTCGGTCTAGTTCAGCACCTGCTCAGTCCCCTCACAGATGCCCTACACCCTGTCGGCACACGTGCCTACGGTGCCTTAGTTTATTCCAATCTGGCCAACGCGTCCGTGCAGCAAAATGATGAAATCCGTGCCGGTGATATTGTCAGCTTCCGTAACACACGCTTCCAAGGCCACCGCGGTACCATGCATCAGAAATACAGTGCCGAAGTCGGCAAGCCTGACCATGTCGGCATTGTTGTTGACTGGGATGGCACCAAGAAGAAGATCCGCGCATGGGAACAGGGTAGGGAAAGCAAGAAAGTCAAGGTGGAAAGCTTCAAACTCAATGATTTGCGCAGTGGAGAGTGCAAGGTCTGGCGGGTAATGCCTCGCAACTGGGTTGGCTGGGGCAAATGAAGTTGAACAGTAGTAGAGTGAAAGTGCGGCTAGCTTCAGCAAGGACTAGCTGATGAATAATGCGTGGAATAGTATGGGTGGCATTATGTTTGTTCATCATTTCCTTTCCCTCTGCAATTTCTCCAGGGAACTATATGGAACCGCAGATGTTTGAACAGAAGATGAGTAAATGATTTGATTCTGGTATATGCTAATTTCACATGGTACATGAGCTGCAGTCATATCTACTAGTAGGTTGACATACCGATGACTCTACCTTCCGTGTTCTTATCAGCTCTTTGTATGTATGTATTGATGTTAATCACCGTGTTTGAACATGTGCAACATCCGACCCCTTAACTTGTAGCATTGAATTGTATACATTCTTTATTTCTCGTTCTTTTTTTTTTTTTTTTTTTCCCACAGTGTTAAGATATGTAGGGCATTTCCTAGCTTAAGATGAGAAGCCTGATACGTAATATAAAATATAGTATTCGTGCCACTTACCCCGGCGAGGACCAGGGCTTTCGAAATTGAATAGGAAGGTTTATCTCGTTTTTGTTTCTTTAATTTTATCGACGAGCCCTCCAATATTCACTTGTGTAAAACTACCTGTAGCCTCAGGCACCAAAAGCAACAACATCGGCCCGGTGGCAACACCATCTTTCCCATTCGGGAAGCTCCTCCATCAACTTTAAAGAAAGCGCTTCA